TTCTCTTCAATTTGGCCCTCGAAAATGCGGTACAGGAATCTGGAATACAAGTTGGGGGAACTATATTCCATAGATTTTCTATGATTTTGGCCTCCGCCGATGACTTAGGTATTGTTGGAGGTACCCCTACAGATTTAGAAAACGCTTTTATTAGTCTCCAGATAGCAGCAGCTGGAGTGGGTTTACAGTTTAATGAATGAAAAACCAAATACATGCATGCTGACCCACAACTAGATGTGCAGGAACCATCGCATTTTATGGCTGGAAGCTTTTCATTTGAATGGGTGAGACAATTTGTATCTTTGTTTACAATTAAACGCAGATAATGAAATAAAAGCAAAGATCTATTACAGAATTATGTCCGCAAATAAATGCTATTTCGGATTACTGAAGTATTTCAAGAGCAGGGCTATCTCTCAAAAAACAAAGGTGCAACTGTACAAGACCCACGTAAGACCAGTTCTCACTTATGCCTTCAATGCTGGACATTACTCAGTTTACTGGAAACCCTTCTCCTAAGGTTCGAAAAGAGAATATTGAGGAGAATTTATGGTCCAGTTTGCATCAATGGTATCTGGAGGATAAGAACGAATGCTGAGCTAACAAGAGCTCAGATATCATAAGGGTGATTAAAGTGTTTGTATCAAAATGCGTCCATGATTGATAGAATTTACTCAAAATCGGTAAAAATAACAAATGAGTCGTTTCTGAAATAAAGAATTCATTGTAATGCAAATGTATAATTTTTAATTTATTTTTCTTCGGTCCACTATCCAGCAATGCCATCGTCTGTTAGAAGTTGTCTCCTCTGCAATGCAACGCGGAATGTATTGCACTGGAGTCTTCCTCAACGTTGAACAGGAGTTCGATCGAGTCTGGCACTCGGGATTGCTTTACAAACTCTGTGAATTCCTTCTTCCTACATACTTTCTCACCATCTGTTCCTATCTTACTAATAGACTTTAAAGTAAATCATAATACTACCCATTCATCCCATTTTCTCAATTTGCTGTTGTTCCTCAAGATAGTATCCTTGGTCCAATCCTTTACGCAGTTTATACAGCTGACATCCAAACCCTTCCTTACCATCAATACTGATGACACGTGTATCCTATCAGTTAGTAACGATCCATCAATTGCAACCCAAACTCTTCAATCACACATCACAAGAAGAATGGTGTCAAAACTAAATGATTCAAATAAATCTCATCAAATCACCTTTACCCTTCGTTGTTAACCTTTGACTTCCTGTCCTACAGTATCTATTAACAAGACCCCTCTTATCCCTATTGAACAAATACAATACCTAGGACTCCACCTGAACAAACGTCTCATTTGGAATCCTCATACAAGACTGAAACGACAAGAAACTGTTCAACGTTTTCGCTTACTCCAACACTTACTAGACAAACGCTCTAAGCTTCCAATTAATTACAAAAGACTCATTTACATAACTATAATAAGACCCATTTGGACGTACGGAGTTGTGCTTTGGGGCTCCACCAAACCATCGAATTCCTCTTGTATCTAATCCTTACAATCCAAAATCCTTACTGCTCCTTACTTTGTCACAAATAAAATAATCCATAGAGATCTTAATGTTCCTTATGTTTCCGATTTGGCAGAATTCAAATACCTATCCTTCCATAACAAACTTCATAACCTTCCGAAACCTTCTTGTTTCTATCTTTGCTTTTTCTTCGATCCCTCATAATCCCCCAAGGCACCTGAAAAGATGATGGTCTCGTGATCACCTAATTTAGAAATTTTATTAGAGTACTACCAATGGGTTTCTCTGCAAATGTTCTCATGTCATTGTATTACTATTTTACTAGAATTATATTCAATTGTATACAGTTGTAAATTTCATTAAAAAAATCTATGGTTTCTGTTAATAGATTATTTAATAGCAATGAAATTTACTGCTATTTTAAGATGTAATTTATGAAGGCTGTGTTAATCTTTTCAATTTGGGAACAAAAAAAGTAAACTAAGTATTTTTGAAAACTTTATAAATGTTTTTACAAAAATAAAATCATTCCATAAATCGTATGGAAGCTAAAGATTCCTTTTCCCTGAAAATATCTATCCATGGTAGTGATTCAATGTTCGATAAGGTTTTATTTATTCTACTCGGTGATGAATGAAGCTTATCTTGGCAAATACACGTTTTTTCCCCTTCCAATCAAGTTGAAAGTCAATATTTAAAGAGAGAAAAGAACGCTAGATAATAAAGTGATCATAAAATTCATGTACATTTCATCTAAAATTGGCTAATAAAACTATGGCTAATTTGATTTTTCGTTGAATCCTCCATTATTTATTTAGTGGGGCTAATGAAACTGATTATAAATAAATAATCACGTAGGGTGAATTCATAAAGTTATACGTAAACAATTTACATAGTTAACGTAATTATTTCAATTGATAATTTTTATTTTAAATGCCAAACATAGAGGGAATGTGGTAATAAATATGTTAATAAGTTTATAACGTTAGGAATTTAGTTTCACCATATTACTAACATATTTTCAGATTTGTAGCCTTGATCAGCGAAAATGAATATACCTGCGTTATTACAAAGACATCTTTACTGCGTATTTTATTTTGAGAACTCTTCTTCCTCCGCAATCACTCATTATTTTTATTCTTTTAAATACCTGAATGTTTTATAAAGTTTTCTACCTAAGCCGTTACAAGTATTTGTCGAGTTCCTGCGGCCAGAGAACTGATATGATGGAGTTTGCGTGGAGCAATCAAATAAAAATATTATAATAATAAAACTTTCGAGGAGTAAATGGTATTGGAAAAGATAAAGTAATAGTTTCGATAAGGGGCTAACGATGAAGAAGGGAGCCTTAAATGACACAGCTCTGGTAAGTGGAGATCAACTATATCTTTTAAAATAATATAAGCAATAAAATCTGAATATGACTGTATGTAATAATAAAGTACTAATAATACATTCATGAACGTTTATATATGGTAAAAATTTGATAAAAACAACTTTTTACTATTGATATAAATATACTATCAAGGTATCTTTTTATTTATTTCAACATTTACATATATATTTAATTTTTCTGACTTATTATTTTCAATAATATCCTTCTTTAGATGTTTGATTGTTAATTATTTTGATTTATTTTTCGAAAATGTTCATTTGAAAATTAATTAAAAAATTTCTAACAACTCTATAATACATCATAAACATGCTCTGAAGGCATTTAAAAAAAATCTATTTAGTTCATTTAGAATAAATTTGGTTGTGCCTATAGGATACTTTTTTTATTGTTTGTAGTTTTGTTTTAATTAAATAATTATTATTTAATAAGCCTTATATTAGTCATAGATAGTCATTAAATTTTAACTTCAAGGAACCATTTCTTGAGCAATAATTATTATAATAAGAGTCCGAAAATATAGATAAAAATAAGATTGACATGAAAATTCATATCGGGTTCATTTTGTTGTTGGAAAAATGGCATTTGATCCAATTACATTTGAAGTTGCAGTACATTTTAAAATTATTATGGGCTTGGTGAAAATAAAAATAAAATAAATTTTTATAGTTTATTATTAACTGATCTATATTTTATATCCATTCCACTATTTAGATGTAATATTGTTATAAAGAAAAATATATGATTGATTCCTTTATATTTAGAAGCTGATAAGAACGTCAAGGATCAATGGTTGATTTTTTTTCTAAGGAAAGAGAACATTGATCCTCTGGTGAAATAGCTCATAAGGGCATTTCTAATAGAAAAGATAAACATGATTATAAACAATGATATTATACATAAACAATAATGTTTTATTGTAACATATAATTATACTTTTATTATCATATATAATTTTATTATTTACATTATTTTGTTCAGAAAGTTTTAAAAAGTGAAGAAATGGTAAAATGAAAGATATTAAGTAGCAATTTTTAATACTAGAGAGACACATTGAATTAAACATTGATGATAAACATTAATGAATTTATTATTAATGCTTTATTATTACATATACCTGTACTTTTACAAATAAAAAAAGGCCCTCACAGTACCTTACTATGTATTATTATTTACAGAGCTGCCAAATATTTATTAAATTAATATCAAAATGATCATTTTTGAAAAAACAGCGAAAAACTTATAATAATAATACAATATATAAAAAAAGAAATGTAATCAATTTTAAAAATAAAATAAAATAGAACAATAAAAATTGAATTAATAAGAATTACCTAAATATTAGAAAAGCATTATATAGACATTAGGAAAGCGGGATAGCTCAATGAGTATGGCACTAAGTTCATATGTTCAAAGTCCTAACTCCGGTTGAGGAAGGTGATTATTTATTCATTTAAATTAGCCGCTGATCGACTCTTGTATCAAGGACCCTCATGGTACAAATCTACATATAAAGTGGATACTTTTAATTTAACAATTAATTTTTTTTTTTAACTTTTATTATGATATTTACAACTGTATTAGTATGAATACATCTAGTAAATTTGTACAGAGAAATATTATTACATGAAACACGCTTGTTGAGAAACTACCCACTGGTAGCACTCTAATAATTTGTCTACATGAGAAGATCACGAGGCCATCTTCTTTTCAGACGCCTCGGAGGGTTATCAGGAATCGAAGAGGAAGCAAGGTTAGAAACAAGAGGATTCGGATGGTTATGAACAATTAATTAAGGAAGAAAATGGAGAGGTTAAACTTGGTTTATACTAAACGGTTAAACTAAGCGTCGGACTTGGAACAGAAGTTCCTTACGAAGTATTGAGCCCAAGACTTCCTCAGGGATGTTGTGGCACTGATTTTTTTTTCCAATGAGGATTATTAATGAAGTATTAATTATTATCAAATTGATCTTATACATAAACATTAGAATGCAGCATTGTTATATGATTACATATAAATCCACTAAGATATTATTATTTACATTTCTTTTTTCCAATAATTTAAAAACTTTTCCAATTCGTGAAGAAATATTACCTGGCACAATGAATGATAAGGACTCGGAGCCTCGTACAATAAGGACCGGGATATGGCTGGAGGGGAGGACTAAAGAAATAGTTGATCTCCACTTACCAGAGCTGTCATGTGGGGCCCCCTTTTTCATCGTTAACCCCAGGTCGATACTCAATAATGCCCCATCTATTTCACCTGTCTCGTCCTCTTCAGGCTCAGGCCACTCGGCAAATTTTATACTCGGCTGCATAAATAATAGCTACCTTGAGGTCATAGAAATCGTTCGTAGGAAAGCAGAAAAAAATCAAATTTGCCTAATTGGATTGATTTTATTTGGATAAAAAACAGTATCCACTGTTTATGGATGTAATTAGAGATTTTCTTATGAAAAACTTGATTCTAAATAAAATAAAAAAATGTGGGCACAATTCTTCATATTTCTGTAATTGTTAACGCTAATCAAAATTCAATATAAAACAAATAATATTTGATTAAATAAAAATCGCAATGCACTTTCTAAACATTATCAGAGTTGAATTTCATTAACGGTGGACAATAGAGAAGATATTTATATTCATTTAAAAATTATACACTAATTTCACATTATGAGGAGCTTATGAAGTACGGTAATTGTCAAAAACTGTGTAATTTGGTTTTTATTAAATTTTTAAAATGTTTAATTTAACCAACACATCATTATCATAAATAAATAATTTTTACCGATAACCATTAACACACTGACTAATATAAACTTCTTTGTTCATTCTTATACAAGACAAAATATAAAGAAAACGAATAAATAAAGTTATGCAATAACTTATTATTAAAAAACCCTTGTTGAGTATATAAAATAGAAAATTTAAATACATTTTCTCATCTATAATTTTAATATAATAGTTTTTTTATAAAAAAGAATAAATAATAATTTAATTTACCGGAACGTTAGTGAAAAAGTAATACATAGCAAATACTTAATTCTATATTACCATCTTAAATAAAATAAAGTTATTTGAATGGAATCTCAAAATAAACTAAATAATAACTGTAAGAGATGGTATCTTAAAACCAATAAATTTAAATGAACCCAAAGAGCAAAGACAAATTTAGTGCAACAAACGAGGCTATCGTTAACTATAATTAAACATTATCTTTATTTTTTTATATTATCAAACTAAATATTAAAAAAAAATTAAAAATACAACAAAGGATAGATTTTTTACTTGTATTTTGTTGCTGATACAAAATTATCAAAGGTGTAAGGTAAATCACTCAATTGATTGTTCATTCGTTATTGTTTCATTAAATTTCATAAGTCATCAACACCTTTTTTATTTTTCCCAAACCAATTTATTGTATCATTCGAGATCATTTATGTGATATATATACACAAAATTTTAGGACTTTTTCTGTTTTATTCTTGGAAAATATGGTTTGTAGACATATTGACATTTTTTAGGTGGTGTTTCATTTGTGATGAGGTAGGAGTAAGTCTCGCGTGACATAATTTCAGTCCCGTCTAGACAAACTTCTTGTGCCTGCAGGTACCCCAGAGTTTTACTTCCTTTATTATAACTTTTGGCATTCTTGGTGGATTTGCTGATTGATTGTTGGTTAAAACTTATAATGAAATTTACAGTAAAAATACTATGTTCTTGGCAATTATAAATCAAGTATCAAATAGTTATTCTGTAGATTGGAACTTCAAGATGAGATAAAAGGTTCGAAACACTGATTCCATAACTTAATAAGTTATTATTGAATTTAAAGGTTCAATGATTTTTCTTAGGAATAAAAAAAAACAAACATAGTAAACATTAGAACATAATAATTTGACTCCAGGTTCAAAGGGAAAATCTTGTGTCATTCATTAAAACAAAAAAAAAAAAAAAAATTGATAAAATAACCAAGAACAATAAAAAGAAATTTTTTGATAGTTCTTGATAAAAAAAAAGATCAAATTACGCACTTGTATTAAAATACGAACTCATGCATACTGAAGTTTATTTTGTTGTAATTAATAATGTCTGTTCTAAAATAATTTGAATAAGAAGTGGTCCTTTAAAATGTTTTTTTTAATTTTCATAATATGGACATCATAAACAAAAAAAAAAGAAAACATGATTATGCTTTAAATATATGGTGTAATGGTGTATATTTATTTTGCATAGACACTCCTTCTTATTAACAAGTAACTGTATAAATTAGAATGTTACTATCGTTAAACAATAAACAAATAATTTTTTAAAAAAAACCAATACTTTCGACTTTTTTATTAGGACTTTACCCCGAAGATAAATATCGAAAAAAAATATTAATGTATATAGTTTCGATATTTTTTTCAATGTCGAAATCTTAATCCAAAAAAAAAAACAAAAAAATATCGATGTATCAGTCTTGATAATTTTGATTTTTCAAATAAAGAAAAGAGGTTTAAAATTGTAACATTACATTTTTAATAGCAACAATGAAATATCAATATATTGTTTACAAAAAAAAAATCAATTTATTTGTCAATGAAAACAATTATTACTAGCAACAAGACAAAAGGTGAGATATTGCAACTCGCTTTATCTGTATATTTAATAATTTTATCTCATTTCGCATAATATTACTGGCCTGCCCCGCTTGTATCAAAGATATGTAGTGTTCAAACTGTTGCTGTCTTTTGCAATGTCATCTGTATATGCCATCACAGATGTCTTTCCATAATTTTTGCCAGTTATTTCATCAGTGTAAATGTTGAATGAAATACGAACTCATACCGAATGTTTGTTTTTGCTGTAATCTATCTGTAATCAGTAATGTCTATGCTAATAATACTTTGAATTCTGTCCACTTTTTGATTAGACAATCATAGGTATTTCAATATCTCCATTAATAGGTGAGAATATCACACCTGACTTCATCTGAGTTCACAAAAAGTAACTGTGACATGCGAACGAATAAAATATTATAAAAAACATTAATGTTTCATAATCTCGTTATAAAATAGCAGTTGGTAGATTTTGAGATAGTTAGAATGATACAATCTATATACGATAAACTTTACTTATTTATTCATACATGATATTTACAACTGTATTAAAAAAAAATGCATAAATTAAATTTTTACTAATGGATATAATGTCATGAAAACGCTTGTTGAGAAACTACCCACTGGTAGCCCTCTAATAATATGTCTACATTAGAAGATCACGAGGCCATCTTTTTCTCAGATGTCTCGGAGGGGTATCAAGAATTTAAGAGGAAGCAAGATTAGAAACGAGAGGGTTCGGATGGTTTTGTTTATTTTGGAAGTATAGGTATCTTGATTGGGTCTAATATGAAAAAAAGAAACATTAAGGTCACTATGGGTGATTTTATTTGTAACAAAGTAAGAAGCATTGAGGAGTTTACGAAGGAGTTTTGATAGTAAGAATTGGAAACGAGAGGAATTCGATGGTTTAGGAAGCCCTATAGCTCAACTCCGTAAGTCCAGATAAGCCTTATTATAGTCATGTATATGAGTATTTTGTAATTAATTTTTTAGTCAGTGCTGAAGTAGTCGGGAACGTCGCGCGGTTTCTTGTCGTTTCAGTATGGTAGAATTCCAAACGAGAAATTAAGTGGAGTCCTAGGTAACATGATTAACCTAAATTTTGTTCGTCTCACACTTTTGCTCTTACTTTGCTACATCATTTATCAGCCATATATCGTATTTAAATTAAAAATCCTTTGATCAAAAATAAAATAAAAATTTAACATTATTAGAACGATTAGATTTAAATATAAGGCTCTAAATCTCTATTGGTACAAGTTACGACCTCTTGTCCATTTTAAGAGACTTTTTTATTCCTTTCTTATGGTTTTGAATTAGTATCATAGTTTTCTTTTAGTACTTTTGAATGAGATTTTATGATTAAATATTTGTAAGAATAACTTTCATCATCGGTAATATAAAAGTTTCGTTTTTATACTTCTCTCGATTTCATAATATGTTTACTACTTCTTTAAGTCTTTAACTATGAAAAAGTTTTTTAAGGATTAAGGGTTACGTTTCTAGTTAAATGATTGTTAATATATTTTCTATGAATATCTATTTCATCAAATATTATTTTTCGTATAATTGTAACCGATAATAGTTATCGAAATGGTCAACATAACATTCCACATATCCTCTCAATGTATTTATGATGATTTTAAAAAGTATAAGTAGCGTAAGTATTTAAATTCATTTATTGGTTTGAAATAATATACCATACGAGTTGAAGTTATGAAAAACTTTTTCGTGTGGAGAAATGCAACTACAGAAACTATAAGCAAATAGGTTACCTAAAAGGTATTAAAATATAGAAGTTATCACAGGAGAGATAAGACAATTTTTTACTGTCTCCTGTTGTCAGTAATGAAGGCCAAAAGGAGCTGTAAATATTTCAACAGTAAAATTTTACCAGGGCACTGATAAAGAAGTTAAAGAGGTAAACTGTCTATTTCAAAAGCTAGGTAGTTTCTCACAAATGAATATTTTTTTTCACTTCATTTTCCATGATAGGAAATAACAGAGCACATAAAAAAAGCTCAGAAAAATCAGTAAATAATCCTACTCACGAAGTTGTGTTTTCGTCCAATAGAAATCCATTGGGTACATAAGGAAAAAACAACACAAATAAATATTTAGCAAAAAAAAAAAATGGAGAATTTTTACTTTATGTATTGATAAAATAACATCGTAAGTGTTCTAAAATGACACAAACCATTATATCAAACTGATAAAGGATCATTTATAAAATAACGATTTGCTCAAGCTCAGGAAAAAATTGAAAGAGCCGTTTTTGAAATACTGGAATTTCATGAAAATACGTTTGCATATGCCCAAATGAAAGATGATGAAATTAAAAAAAAAATGATATATGACCATCTAAGGGACAACCCGCACAATTCCTTAAAAAGTATTAATAGTAGCAAGTGTTATGTCCGTAACGTTTATTTTTTTTAAATTCCTATATTGGTAATCAGTAATAAAAAATGATATTCATATAGATTATTATTGTAGTGTTGTAGTAATATATTCATATAATATTTCAAAGTATTCATCATATGCAGAGTCAAAATAATGTTGGAAATACAAAAATATCTTTTACTTACATTTTTTTTTTTTCTTACCCTCCAAAATGTTTATTGAAACAATTACATATATAGTATACAATAATACAATATATACATGCAATAAATTCCTTCCACTGCCCGAGGGCATTTTAAGGATTGGGGATA